GAGGAATATCTCATGCATATTAATCTGACTGAGCGTTTTTCCTTGTCCTTAAGGAGGCGCGCCATTATTTTATTATATGTCTCATTATCAGTGCAGCTGTCGCTGCTCAGGAGATAAGGTAGGGCTTGGCTCTCATATCCTGAGATACTGTCCGAGTCGGACGATCCGACCATACGAGTATGCCTCGGTCGGATGGTTTTTCCTTCTTAGTGCGTCTCGTGCTCATTTTTCCTCTCTCGAACTTCTTCTCTTGGACGGACGCTCGGTCGAGAATCGATATCCAAACAGTGATCAATAATGTAGAGCGCTGGCTTTCGGAAAAAGAAACGCCAGTTTTCTCGACTCCCCGGGCACGTATTCCTCTTCCGTGCCACGCATTCCAGGACTCCTTGAAATTTCAATGCACTAAGGAACCCTAGGGCTGCCTTCTGCATCTTGATGTACATTCGCAGAAACAAGAAACGTTCCTTTGCAGAAGATTTTTGCCAGTCGGGGAGACCCATCCATTTATATCACTCGCCTTCAGTTTGAAACGGCTGATAATGATGCTGGATACCGATGCCGCGAATGCCGCCGCGTCGTTGCTACGCGTGAAGCCTCAGAGAGGATCCCCTCGGAGGTCGCTGACAATGAACTCGAAGCGGAGCAAGTGGAGGCAAGTTGTTGGGAAAGGAGGTGGGAGCTCGATACGGAGCTCTCACAGAGGGTCCATCCGTCTCCCTTTGAAGGAGTCGGATATCAGCTTTTCTCGATCATCTTCTTCGTCTTCTCTAGCACCTTCGACGTGCCCTCATTGCCTTACGTTGTCGGTTGCCCGCGACGGCGCCGTTGTCGTCTCCGCCAAATCCGTCTTCGAGCCTCCTCCAACAAAGACGACAGTCGGAAGCGATGGTTACCTTAAAGTTTTGATTTCTCCTGCTTCCTCCGATCGCCGTGTGTGCTATGGGAACAAACTGAGATGTTTGCTTTTGGTGAAGAATTCCACAGCAGATTAGAGAAATCTGTAGATGTCCCGCCGCTCGACAGCTCACCTCAGTACGCGAGGATGTCCCGTAACCCCATTGACACATTCCTCACATTCCCCGCACGGCGCGGTTCCGGAAACCCGGCCGAAACTTCCGGGGAAACACTGACAAAGAGGGACAGCCGGTTCCTTGAACGAAACGACCTGCTCGAACTTCTTTGGACGAGTTTGTCGACTCTCGTTTCGCGAGGGAAATTCGGATTGAGCCCCCGAGCAATCAAATCCACCGCAGAGTCTCCTAGATACTCGGGGAGCTTCCCACCCTCACCTCCGGTTTTCTCCCTCGCGGTGATAGCCGCGGACACGTGCAGACATTCACGGTTGTATTAGCGGAGCAACACCAGAGGAAGGTATATCTCGCTGAATAGTTCCCTGCATATGAATCATATTCATGCGCGCTTGCGAAGACTCCGAACAAATATATACGAGCATCGTTATTTTCGCTAAGAGCATGCAAGTGACCGGGCCGGCGGCAGTCGGCAGAGCTAACAAGGTGAGTGAGTGGACAGGTAGTCGAGAGAGCGAGCGGAAGCCCCGACGGTCAACGAAATAGCGCAAACGACGTCTTGTAAAATATGCATCATTGCAACGAGGCCTTTGTTGTCGTCGGACGATTAGGCTAGTAGTGTTCACACGCTACCTGTGTCGTGCATTTTCCACGCCAAGTGAATCACTATTTCACGCCGGAAAAATCGCCTACTGCAGCTGATTTACTGTACTCCGTCCGCTCCTGTGACTGCCTGAATCTCCCTCTACGGTGGCTGGGGCCGGGGCACTTATTGTTCTTGCTGTTGTAGTCGGTTTGATTGTGAACGTCATTCCGCGCGCGGCGTACGGCGCGCCCGCCGGCCGCAATGCTCAGTCAGTATTATTCCATTGAGTCGCTTCAGCCTGTGTTATGGAGCGGCGAATTCTTGGTGGAGAATCCCCACTGCGAGGACGCGATTAGAAATGAAAAATATGCTCCGCGAAATTATTTCCTGATTGTCAGCCTCGTTCTCCTACACCTGTTCGCTCGCGCGCACCCCCTTCTCTTGGTGCCTTTACTCCCGGCTCCTCCAGCGGCTATCGTTATGAATGTTCGACTACGTCAAGGAACGACACAGAGATCCGGTGTTCGACGTCCCCATAATTTCCGATCCGGGTAGTTTGGCTAAGGACGATTTAATTTGTCATTGACCGGCCGCAATCCGGGAAGGAGGGAGCACATTACTGTCCCCATACATCTTCAGGATAGCCGACTCCGGAGGCAGGCTGCTCGGCATCACGTTCGTAGTCCGTGAGCTAGGCAGCGGGGTACGCGCCCGACGGCCAGGACGGATGACTAGCCGGATAGGCAAGGCGGAGAGGTTCACGGAGAATCGAGGAGTGGGATCGCCCACTCGTCGCCGTACGTTTTGGCGTTTCTTACCTCTCCCCGAAGGTTCGCATGATTAACAACCACACGCTGCCGGATGTTTGTCCGGAAATGGGCCACAAGTCAATTTAGATAGACACACATACACACGAGGAGAAACGAACCACGCAGACGTGTTCCTTGGTCCGGCTTACTTGATGGAGTTTCGTTCGCTGCGACCCGGCGAGCGACGACGTTCCGTCGGTCGGTCGGTCGCCTGCTCGTTCATTCCGGGGGGATGAACGAGCAGTCTTGTGAACAAGCTCGGATAGTAGATCGAGTCTGCGACCCTGTTCGGAATCAGGGAGGAAAAGCCAACAACGTCTCCCCACGGACAAAGAAGGCAGCCATTTGCCGCCTCCGTGTCGTTTGACAATAGCCAGCGTTCGAGTGGGCGGGTATCCCGGCCGGTGGTAGATTAAAAAATCGTGGCACCGCAGAGTCTAATTTTAGAGGTACATAATGAATTTTGAGCGAGCGACGGACGGTACAACGTCGCGCCAGATAGAACCCTTCCCTACGAGGCTAATCTGTCATGGCGGGAAAAAGGGAGGAGAGACAAGATCACCGAGGAGGAAACTCGAAGTGCACGGAGAAACACGAAAGTGCTTATTCACGGAAATAATTTCCACGTAGTCCATTGATAGTGATATAAAGGGTCATTTGCGGAAGTCACTGCGGCCCCGTGCTCGTTATTGCGAAGCGTGGCACGAGACAGGTCGCGACCTTGAGCGCTTTGCGGCAGAGTGTGGGCTCGATGCGACGCGACGTAATCGCGAAAAAAAATTGCTGCCCATAGCTCCAACCGCTGTTTCAGCAGAAACAGACGAGCGGTCTGATAGCCTAAAATTCAACACACAAGCGAACTGTAGCTGCCGTTTGTTCGAATCCGACAGGAGTTCGAGGCGGAGTTGTTGTCCACTGCGAGGCTTCTGTTTGCCCGTGTGCCTGGGGCTCCGTTCAGGAAATGAATTTCGTTGCTCGCTGGTCGACCGGCTCGTAGACCCATGTATCGCCCCAACACATCCTGGGTCACGCAGTTGGCTCTCCGGTCGTTCAACGAGATCTATGTATGTAGGTGGATGGACGCGAGGATCTAGGGGCTAGGGGACGCTACGTTGTGGAGGATGAAGGCGAAACAACAAGCCACTACACGACTACCGTCATAGGTCGAAGCACGATGCTGAGTGACAACGACGAGCAGAACACACACAGCACGGTGTCTAACAATGCATGAAATCTCGACGCTCGCTCGCGTATTATTGCCTGGCAGAAGGAAGCCCGCCAGAGGGAAAACGCCGGCTTGTGCTGGTTCATTATTTCGCCGAGGGGAGATAAATTACTACCGGTAGCAGATTACGTGATATAGTTACCTGGCGAAGCCGAGTTTGTCTGGCCGACCGGGCGACCGCCGCCGCCTACCTCTGATGTTCGACCGGGTTGCCGACTGCCGCCATTACGGCTGCTGGCGTACCCGAGTGGGTGGGGGAGCTGATTAGGCCATCCCGTAAGTCTACGGCTGCAGTCGCCGAGTTTTCCGGCCGAGTCTGAATAGAGACGGACTCCCCCTACTTCGACAAATGTTCGAGCTATTATCGACTGCGAAGAGTTACGGATGTTTGAATAGAAGGTCTGCTTATGAAAAGATGAGATAACATGTTGGCGGATCGAGTTACCCCTCCGAGCTAATTTAAAGTCAGAGCTGGAATCTCGGCGAGCTCGTTGAACTTTCCCCGTACATGAAGCCTGGATATTCGATCGAGCACGGAGAAACCCGACGTCGAATATTGGGTGACTCCGGGACACGGCTGTCTCGTGTAGAGTTCTTACGGCACTCGGCAGAGTCCGGCTGGAGCGGACAGAAAAGAATCAAGGAGTCTCTGTAGATGTACGTAGAGGCCTCTGAGCGCACATAACGGTCGCAGACTAGTTGTCGGGATTGCCTGCCCGACGCCGACCAGAAGACTAGTTTGTCGGAACCTCGAGATACTCGAACGAGATAAAGTCACCTGCAGTCGTTACCACCGCCGGCCAGTAGTCGCTATTGCTCTCAGAGGAGGAATCATCGTGAGCTACACTGCCCGTTAATCTTACAGGAAGCCCGTGACGTCCAGATAAAGCGTTCTGGCGGCCACGCTCCATTGAAACGTTATTCGAAACAATACCCGCCGAATTATGATGAGGTCGGGGTGGACTGAACACACGTACCGACCAGAGGATGGATTTGCGATAATCGCAATCGTAGCGATCGAAATGCGGGCGAATCTAGAATCTTCCCGGCGCTCGCTTGCGAGCTCCATCCGTGGTTGGGCATTCGAAATTCCGGAGAGGAATACGGGAGCGTTGCTCGGCGGGGAGTCGACTTCGCGGAAAGCCTCTAGTGATTTAAAATAATGATCGTCTGCTCCGAGACGTGGTGATGAGTCATTTGGAGGAGCGACTCGGAACAATTGAGGGTCTATGGGGACATAAGGGAGCAGAGAAACCAAAAGACCGCCATCGTCTGGGACGCTCGACGAGTCGAGTGGAAAGAAGCCGGAAAATGGTAGCTGTGGAGGGAAGTATTCAGATCTCGAGGAAATGGCCGGTGAGATAGCGCTCATGAGAGGTCAGCGTTGAAATCAATCTCCGGCTGCCGTCCTAGACGACAGCCCCTCCCCGACGAGGGATAAGGGATACCTTAATAATTCATGCACTCCAATAATTCATGTTTCTGTGCATGTTACGAAATTCGTAGAGCGTCCTCTCGGGATTTTGAAATCAATAGGTCCTCGTTCAAGTCGTCGGCGCAGACATTGCTCCCGCGGTCTCCGTGGTTTTCCTTGTTGTTGGTGTTGTTGTCGATGTCGTCCTCGTTGTTGTCGAATTGAGACTCACTCAGAGACAGGTCTCTAGATCCATTTGACAGCCGCATGCATATTCAGGCGACATGGAATGTGCTTCGAAATTATGTCATGAGGCCGTGATTCCTTGATCTCACGGCCCTCTCGCTCATCTGTGCCTGTTTTGGGAATCGGCAAATCCCCCACGGAGGGAATCAGAGATCCACGGCGTGGGCGGTAACCGCGTAGGAAGCCTCAGACAAGGGAGGACGTGACGGTGACTTTCTGCAGCAGTTAAATTTGAAAGCAGCGACCGAGAGGGAATCCTGACGTTGCGTCACAACTCTCTCGTCCCCCTCCCGGCAACTCGAGGAGTATATTGCGGTCTAAAGCTGTGGGTAGCTTATCGTCGCGTTCATCATTCGCTCGCCTGGATTGCCGTCTGCTGAAGATGGGGGCTGCTGGCAGCTTGAGACTTTCGCTGCGACCGGATGACGAATCTGCTGTGCTTCACGAAGTCGAGACTTAATTCGAGTCCGAGACAAAGTAATTTTCCGAGGCTTACCCCGCGCGCGCCGCCGCACGCGCCTGCTGACTCGAGTCTCAAGGCTCGCTGAAAGCCGCACGCATCGCCTTCCGGACGGGCGTCGACGCAACTCTGAGCGGTGGGCGGCGGCATCGGCGGCGGGTTTCATAGAGTCGCACAGCATCACGAGGAGTACAGGCGAATGCGGCTGCGCTTAGCACATACCACATACATACATCCATACGTGGACCCGCTCTGCCGGTTCGCTTTACCAAATGGAAAATTACATCGAGGACTGTTTCGACCGCTCGCCATTTGTTGCGCGATTCGATGGGATCGACTGGAGTTCGAATCGATTCGAGCCGACCGTCGACGGCCCCGACCGCAGAGCGCACGACTGCACGACGCCAGAAGGTCTCAAACAAAAGCACGGAACGATACGGAGAAAGTGGAAATAAATGATCGTGTGTCGTTTTGAAAAATGCTCGAGCGATTCCATTTGGGCGTAATTTGATTACCGACTCTAGCTTGTCCCCTGCGGTTCTTTCCCGTTATTAGGAGGGGGAGGCGCTCCGTTGCGTCGTCTACAGGCGAAAAAGTTGATGTTCTGTTCGACTTCTTGCTTTTGAATGGAAAAGAACAATTCCTGCGACATCGTTGCCGCTCTGATATCATTTGCCGTACCATGGCCACCTACCAGGGACCACACCTAGAGCTACAACTTACTGTAGAATAGCGTGGTAGCAATAGTAGAATGAATTAGAGTCTGGAAATTAATTCAATAAAAAAATGGTACTTGGTGATCATTCATTTGCCGTATTTGCCGAAGAGTTTCTCGCCGAACAATCTCACTGGTCACTGCTCCTCTCCGGAGATCGGAGAGGATTAAAAAAGATCGCTGTTCGTTTTCGAAGCCTCAACAAGCGACCGACGCCGACGGGCGACGGGGACTTGAAGGCGATCGATACGAGATGGAATCATTCATGGCGCTCGCGAGCTCTGGCGATTGGTCGGCCAAATGATTTGACGTTGATCAATGCCTTAAGGACTTCTCGCTCCATATATCATCGATTTCGCGAGAGAACTGGTAAACAAGAACGGAATTGCGTGGCCGACAGAGGGACGGCTGGAGGGTTTTTGGGTCTTTTCCAGTCTGGCTCCGGAGCGAGCTCCAACGGATGGGTCTAATGATACGTTCGCTTCGTTTGCAGGAAGTGATGACTGAGAACAGCTGGTTGGACCTTTAACCAGCACGATGAAGGTCCTCAGATCGCTAGGATTTCTGTTAGCAAGCCTCCTTCTGCTTCTGGCGCTACCGGCCAGGGTGGTAGCTCAGTGCTCTCTGGCGGAAATCCAATGCGACAACGGAAGATGTGTTTCATCAAACAAATTCTGTGACGGTTCGGACGACTGTGGAGATGGGAGCGACGAGCCCATATCGTGCACGAGTGAGTTCAGTCGTTTTTAATAGATCCGTCAACTTGAATTGATTTCCTCGAGCTACGGTTCGATGGCGTCCACGTAAAGACTCTCCATCGATGTCACCTCCGTAGTCTACGTTCGATTCTCAACTGATGTTTTTATTCATGGGCTCCATGAGCGCGCCGCCTGTTCGCGCGACGATGTGACAGGCGCCATTGCACGTGGACGATAATTCTACTTTATCGAGTACACGATCTAACTCTGAATCCGTTTTCCCTATTCCATCGAACAGATTGCAACCGGACCTACTACGGGAACGTATCGAACAAGTATACGCTGCGGATTACGGAGCCCTTCCAGCGGCACCTGTCGTTCGTCTGTCGGATTAATTTCGTCGCAGCAGGGGACCAATATGGAGATCTGGTCGAGATCACGTTTCTAAATTTCCAAGTGGGCTACAGCCATCAACAAGGGTAAGCATCCAGCGGACGAAGGATTCCAATACACGCTCTCCCCCCTCCCCCTCTCTTACGCATACCATGCTTGGAGAAGGAGCCGATATGGAACGGAAAGATCTTTATGACGGATCGGAGCAGCGAGTCCGACAACTCGTCCGGGGTCCAGATCTGGAATAGACCGTTCCTTCTTGCGTCCCGCCATGAACGATGATCGACAACGTCCCTCCAACTCATCAGATGATAAAAGGATCTCTTGGCGGGCAGGCGGTGGCGGCTTTCTGTCCGTCCGCAAGTCAGCTGATCAGTCGGTCGGTCGGTCGGTCGATCGGCTGGTCTCGGGGACTCAATACGCTCACCCTCCAAGGAAATAGTCTCCCGTCCCGTTCGGGGTCGACGACGGACGAGACGGAACAGGAAAGAATGCCACTCACGGCGGAACGGTGTGTCCTGAAAGCAGTGAGACCGTTTGAGCTTCTGCCGACGACCGACCACGACATGGAATCCAAGATTCATTCCTGATCTGCTCATTTCTCTCTTTTGGCTTTCAGGAACGCGAGCTCGAGCTGCCTACAGGGCAGCATGGTCCTCGACGAAGACATGGGCAACGTCCACCCCGCACGGCGGACTTGGAAACGGCGCCACATAGTCTATCCGCATCCGAACCCCTACGACGACCCTCAGCCACTAATGCAACACCATCATCACTACGAGTCGTCCGCTGCGGCTGCCGCTCCCGAGACGCCTCAGTTCAACAGTCACGTTAGATTCGGTAGCTTCTGCGGAAACCTAGTCGGTAGAAGCGCTGTCTTCTACAGCATCGGACGGAATGTCAGCATGACGGTGACGTTTCCGTCGCTCGCCTCGTCCATGTCCGGTGTATTTCTGACGTACAGGTTTCTTCGAAGAAACTACCTCAATAGCCACTATCTGAAAGCGGAGAGCCCGGGCGCCTACTACGGCGAGCTAGTCGCTGGCACCTACTGCGACCGAGTGTTCACGAATTGCTCGAAGCGCCAGTGCAAGATTAGAACTCCGGGTTTTCCGGGCTTCTACCTCAGAAACGTCACATGCAACTACTACATAAAGGAGAACTACAATGGCCGCGCTAGTGACAAGGTTCCTCAAATTCATCTTTCGCAACGCAATGAGTATAAAGTACGCATCTATTCAGGCATCGCCTCCTCGGCGACCGCGGCCGGCTTCACTCCGGGCACTCTGACCTCCGATTGTTCGGCCGGAGACGTTGTCAAGGTCTACGACGGGAACATCAGCGACAGCAATGATCGAGTGGTTCTGCAGGAATTCTGCGGGTCGGGAGCTCTCCCGGCGGTGGTTTCGTCGGGTCCCGCGATGACCGTGCAGCTCGTCAGCGCTCCCCATCAGCAGCTCGTCGAAACACACATGGAGCTCGACGTCGGCGTAAAATACGTGGCTCGCAACGAACTGCGAGTGACCGACGGTCAATGCAAATTCGTCATCGAGAGCAGCGATCAGCGGTCGGGTGAGGTCTACGCTCCCAAACACACCCTTGCCGCCGGAACCACCTGCACGTATTTATTCAAGGGACGCTCCCACAACGACAAGCTGTGGATTTATTTCACCAGTTACTACGCTCCGGACCGCCAGCCGTGGATCTCTGAGGAGAAATGTGATTCGTCTCGTTTGGAAATGTTCGACGGACCTGGAAACTACTCGACGTCGGTCGGAATGTTCTGCGAAAAGACCTCGCCGAAGGTCTGCAGCCACGCGCACGATTTCCTCCACCTCATCCCGCAGCGACCCTGCAAACGCGACGGGGAGAGCTACCTGTCGAGCGGTAGCGACCTCACGCTGACCTACAGCATTTTCAAGAATACCGAATTGACAACGAGCGGACTCCCAACATGGTCGGCGCGTTTTGAGTTCATCGACAACACAATGTTCGGATCGCCGGTGGGCAACACCGTGGACCACGAGCCGAACTGCGAAGGCTGCGTCGACGAGCGACCTTCGTGCGATCGCGAGTTCTTCTCATTGGAACGCTCGCAGGAAATTCCCAATCGTCCCACCGGACTCCAGCGCGGCCGCTTCGCGTCCCCGAAGAACGTTTTCTATTTCGGTCGCGGAGGAACTTCAGACCTGTCCTGCACGACCACGTTTTACGGCTCGGCCAACGAGCGGGTCCGAATTAAGATCGAACGTCTCGCGTTGAAAACCGAGACGAGATGCAGTACGCAGTTCGATAAGAACCAGGCCCGATACGTCTGCAGCCATCGGACCCAGATCAATTCGGCCTACAACCGACGTCGCTCAGCCGAAGTCAAAGTCGTAGAAACGTGGCGCGGTCTCACGATCCCGGCCGGCTGTGTTTGCTCGTCGAACACCTCGCTGCCATTCGAGCTCACGTCCGTCGGATCTTCCGTATCGGTGACGTTCTCTGTTAGCGGGATGTCCCCGACGGAAGACTTCACGGATTTTCATTTTGAGGGGAGTTTCGAGTTTTTGCCGACGACAGACTGCGGCGTCACGGAAGTCCTCTCGGGCAATGTCGGCACGGCTTTCCTCACCGGCGGCACGGGAAGCCAGCCCAACATGCCGATGCACATCAGGAGCAACAGTTACCGACCGAATATCCAACGGTGTCGGTGGCTGATCCAGGCCAATCCGAGGAAGTACCTCTACCTCCGAATCAACGGGGGAAAGGAGCGAGCCGAATGCCCTACCGAGGACCGCTTGCTCATGTATTCGGGTGATCAGTTTCAACACATGAGTCAAGTGTGCGCGAGCCTGGTACAGGGCGCGCACACGGCCGACTCGGAGGAGGAGATTGCTCCGGAGCCACAAGTGGAGTTCTTCAGTCCGCTCTGGGACGCCGAGGAGCGCCCGAGCAGCTCCCGGGAGCAAATTTTGCTAGAAACGCTGTGCAGTGGCTCAACGGACACCTCGTTCCAAGTGAACTGGATCGAGGTCTCGAAACCGTTCGTGCGGACCGCCGACGGTCTCCAGGAACGCAACGAGGACTGCGTTCACGAATGTCCCGAGCTGGGAGCGTGCATTCCTCCCGAGCTGTGGTGCGACGGTACCCCGCACTGTCCCGCAGGCGGGGACGAGCGGGAAGAGTTCTGTCGACGGTTCCCGTTCCTTGCGATCGGCCTTTTCGTGGGCCTGATATTGACCACCATCATGGGGGTTACGGGCGTGCTCGTCGTTCGGAAAATCTGCGCTTTCGATAGCGACAAGCCGATCTCGAAGAACAATCCGCAAGAGAACCCCGGTCAACAACCAGTGGACGTCCTCATGAACACGTTACCGCCGCTTCCCGAGCGGCAGTGTTCGCTGCCGTCGACAGGAAATAACGGGACGACGATCAAAGACGTTCACGATCTGACCGCGCTTCCAGACGACCTCGCTCTAGATCCGGGAGCACCACAGGTGATGCTCCCGATGCCGGGCATGCACCCGATGAACCCATACGGTTATCTTCCAGGGCGGGACAGCATGGTGGCTATAAATCCGCAAGGTTATCACACGTATCGCCAACACCAGCAACACCCTCAGATAGTATTGATACAAGAGCCTCATTGTTGAAACTGAAAGAGCTTTTCATATTATATGGTGTTGTGGGCTTGTAACAGTGTGTACAGACTTGTATATATGATATTGTAATTCGCCGAATTGTACATAACCGAGTCGAACGAGCAGAAGTGAACTATGACGACACACAACGAGAACCCTGTGTGGACGAAAATATGAACTGATTGGTTGAGAGGAATTTCCGAGTCATCGCAGGAGGCCAAGATATCAACGTCAAATAAATAAGGATTGATAACGATAGACGAATGAATGGGAGGGCGATCTCATCGCCAATATTGCGGCTCTGTCTTCATTTGAGTCTGTCCGAGTTCCGTCGCCGGTAGAGAAAGCGGGATCTAAATTCAGCTCGGGCTCCGACGTCCTTGGAAGAATCTGTGTGGAGGTAGTAGTAACGATTATGAGATCTCCGACGGACTCTGATCCTGCAGGAAAATTCTTAGAATTATAGATGAATTGTTATCCAGCAAAAAAAAATTCGTATCGGAAGCGAGGGTCGGTAATGAGGGCGTAATACACGAGGAACGTCCCGTTTGGTCAACGCAATAGAGGGGAAGGAATCGAATTAGATTCGACGGCTTCCGTGAAAGCTGACTAATTGTTTCGAGTCTTTTTCCCTTCCATCGAGTAGAAGGGTGGATTTCGCTCAAGGACGGACCCTCAAGAGTTGTAAGGAACGATGGGAAATGAAGGCCCCTGGATTAGACGGGGAATCGGTCGAGATAGCTGATTGAAACGACCAAACCGTGACCTGGTCTGGGAGCGAAAGTGAAGGACAGCGGTCCCGCAACCCATTGGCTCCTATTCGGAATAGCATTCGAAGGAAAGAATAATGAAAGAGAACTGACTTCGGGCCTTCTGCCAATCGTCAGCCTGCCTATGAAATGCTGAAAGTCATCGAGCTCGTTCGGATGACGTCACGGAGCTCCACCGCGAAGAAAAATTGTTTTCCGATGACAAAATGATGTTACAAGTCGGACTCCCTAGACGTAAGGGAGCAACGCGGCCGGCGGAGTGCGCGGTCTTCCGATGGAAGAGAGAGCGAAAAGGCGAGAAACAGCTCGGCGAAAATATCCAGGAGCCTCCGGGGAGCCGAGCGAGTGTTCGAGACTATTGGGAAAAGGGGCGAAATTCTGAGGAAGTCGTGAATCTGAGCGGGATAAATTGTAAGCTCCCAGTATTCGTTGCATCAGGTCACGGCATGACCGGAGAGGAATCCAGCGGAGCCTCATTCTTGTGATCTTTAGTTAAGCAGCTGAACAATAAGTCGCTGGTGCAGACGGAGCCGGGAGAAGTTGGGTGCGAAAGCAAAATGCAGAGAATAGTACTCATTCCGCATCGCGAATGGACATTGAAAATACAGTGACAATAGTTGATGCCATTAGTGGTCGATCGGAGATCTGCATATTGCGGCAAGGTGTATCAAAAAATGACAGAGAGATGAAACTTTTCAATAAAAGCGAAGTATCGTTTTTTAAGCCACTCGATCCGTCCTCATTCTCAGCTGTGCACCGTTAGGGAAAACATTCACCTGCGAGAGAGTTGTCCTGCCTGTGTCCGCCAATGACCCTTCGGTGGCCATAATCTCCGGATACCGAGAACACTGCGATTCATCTACGATTCATTCGTTCGGGGCGAGTGGAAAATAATGATCCGTTCGGTGCATGATCGAGAGGTCCCGAGCTGAGAGTTCCCGTTCTAACGTCGCTCATAGCGCGAAGCCCGCTGAGATAGTGGAATGACTCCGCCAGGAACGAACGGTCTCATCACTCGTGACGAGGAGCACGACGCTGAGCATGCCGCTCTACGAGAATACAATGCCGTCGCCGCCGCCGCTGCTTACGGAAGAACGAGCTAAGACCACAAGACGCCTTCCGCTCGTGGATCCATCGATGCAACCAGCAGCCATCGAAGATAAAATTCACTGGGCTCACTGCCATACGGCAGAGATAAGGGAAACTGCCGGAGTCGATAGGATAAAGCTCCGATAAACAGCCTCCCATTCGTCCGCCCACAAGGTCGTAGGGTCGCGCAAGATAAAAAACCTCGACGCAGTGATGAGCGCCGGTAGGGCATCCAAAAGGAAAGTGCGGGAACAGGTCTCTCAGCGGGATAGGAGCTGATTTCGTAGTCGTTCGCTCAAAGGCTCTCGTCGATCGATTCAATAACTCGATGAAGATGTCAGCGTCGCCAGAATAGCGACGTGTCGTCCGCTCTTGGCCCACAAGGAAGGGCTGCCGTATAAGAACTTCTCAGTGTGGGATGCGCGGTGAAGGAAGCGAATCCGATATAATTCTCGAATTGACACATTGTATTAAGGACGAACGGCCTCGCTTGTCTGTCATAATTTACATGGGAACACCGATGGAAAGTGCGGAAATCACGGAGAAATTCTTGAGAAGGCATGAAACTCCGCTGATCCGGAAATAGATCATTTATGTAGACCCCCGGACAATTGAAGGGTGATCGTCGAGAAAGATCTTGGGCTCAATAAGTTCTGACTCCAGGGAGCCCCCTCGTGATAACGTGCTGAGCTAGGATCCAATCGCTTTGGGTCGGGACTGCGAATCCGATCTCCGATCTTTCCTCAGCCGCTCGTCCGAAATTCTGTACTGGAACCCACGGCGGTATAGCGAATGGTCTCTGGCCTGGACGAGATCAGTCTTATTCCTGAAGGCGGCCACACCTGTTCGGAAGCAATCCCGTAGTACTTTAGAGGCAGCCCCCCAGCTTACAGACGACAGCTACAATTTGCGAGCGGCATTTCCGATTGGAGGCGACGTCGTCGGCTTGCGGGACCAGCATGCATACAACACCGCTCCGGTGAGCGAGCGAGCGAGCAAGCAAAGGGTGGATGATACATTCGGAAGCTGTCACGAGGCCTCACGCCTCACGTAGTGGCTCTGGACACGCCTACGAGTCCACACCCTGGTGAGTCCGCTGAGGGCAAGAGGACGCTTCGCTCCCACTCCCAGCCTTTGAATACCTCATATATCGCTCATATGTGGCAGAGCATTGAATAAATTTGATAACGGTGGCTCCCGTCGGGCATGGCTGCTCCGCAATAAAAGTTCGACAGGCTGGACGGAGTCTGTGTAGGCGATGAGGTCCGGCACCTGGACAGACGCCTTGTATACGCCATGCATGAGAGAGTCGAAGCTATTGGGCAAAACCGGGGAGCGACCGAACAGGTCAGTGGAAGCGCAGTGAAAACGGAAAGGAAGCAGGATACGAACCGGCGGGGAACACAAACAATCGATTCGACGCGGCTTCCTTGATCCCCGCTTGTTCCAGCGGAGAGAGAAAACTTGTCAAGCTGACGAACGCAACCCGGAGCCTCGACTGAGGAATAAAATTCTTTTTGTCAGCGCCGATGTGCGGGAAAATTTGTCCGATCAATCTGCGGATCCGTCCACGTGACCGCCCCTCGAAGATCCTAAGTCGATTTGTCGGCCGGATCTCGGCCACAGACAAATTCCGTCGTCTCGTCGGAGCTTTTACGGTGAGAAGTCTTGAGACGTGTCGGTCATCGTATACGACGGGCTCGGTTTCCAACTCGTGCAAATGCGACGCTCGCCTCGGGGTCTGATTGGGGAATCGCTTGGAATCTGCGCGAAGGGCTTAACTTATCTGCTACGCCGTAGCAGCTACGGGGTACTGAGCGGCACCACGTGAACGCCCGCGGCGATTTTCGACAATATGACTCCCTCGCTGAAGGAAACTGTATCGTCTCGAGGAACTCATCCGTGGGAACTCGAGGCCGCTTCCCGAAATTCCACCCTCAAGCAGCTTCCTGTAGCGGCTCCGGTGGGCAAGAAGGTTTTGGGGACCGGGGAAACTGGGACAAAACGGAAATATCAGTTGGTCCGGTAACTCCGGCGTGTCAATTATATAGTCCGTGAGTATTGGAATTTCGAAAAACGGCGTTATTCATATTCCGTATGTCTACTGAAGTGGCAATCGCGAAAGGATTGCCGTTCTCCGAGAAGCGTGACCCGATATTGGCATCGGAACGGCAGACCATTGATTGAGTTGGGGAGTGACTCCCACCATATGCTCTGATAAGGATTGAGCATTAGCTAAATGACGCAGTCTCGAAGCTACTGATGGACATTACGCGAACGCTTCCGACGAACAGACGAATGAAGTCGACGACGACCAACCGACGGACCGTCTCACTGACGAACGCTGCGTACTCTGGCCCGCTGAACGTGCCCAAGCCTAAAAGGCAGCAAGGCAGAAATCACCGACAGGCTCCCGAAGCACAGCAGATTCGATTCGGTTTCGCCTGTTTCCCTTCTGTTTGGTAGACTCCCGTCGTTTCACCTCCCTTTCTTCGTTCCTGAATGTACGTCTTCTCTAAAAAACGGCGCTCACCAGCTCTCTCTCTCTCTCTGTTTCTTTCGCGAGCGCAATGCATACAGGCTACAATCTCGGAGTCGCTTCCCGAGAGCACAATTTACATGTAGGGACTCCCGAAGAATTTCATCTCTCCGTTCCGTTCGCTCGACTTCGGCGCTTCATTTCCTCCCGGCGCGGACGTATCATTTCGAAGTCTGGTTCGTTTCGGCGTTTCCGCCATTCTATCAAGTCGAGGCTTGTGAATCTTCCGGGGACCGATTATTCCTGGGGAACAATCGAGGAACTCTCCAGCCAGAATACAAATGGATTATTCTCGCTCGCGCCGACAGTTATCATCAAAACGAGTTCACTTTCGGCAATTCGTCGATTGGTTGCTTCGAAGCACGGAAATCGAAAACTCCTTCATTAGCTCCTACAGGTCGAAGGACGGAGCGAAAGTCCTCGGTTCGGATTGACGCCGCTCCGGAATGAGAGCAATCGTCTGCGGGTTGCGACACTGACGTCAAGTTTACGAGCGCCCATCCAAGAAGCGAGGAGCGTTTCCGATTGTGTTGTTCTTTTTCAACAGATGTAATCGATGACACTCTGTCTCCGGTGGAAGCGACAACTCCGATCAAGTCACCGGATTTAGGGGA